CGGATCGGGCTGAAATTTGGCATGCAGGTAAATGTTATGACGTAGGCATCCGCTAAGAAAGGATTTTGATTAATTCTACCCCAAAGGGGATAAAATAGGGGATGAAAGTTTGTATGAAACTTTGTCAATTTTAAACCGATCGGGCTGAGACTTTGCATGCATAAAGCTACTATGACGTAGGCATCCCCTAAGAAAGGATTTTGATAAATTCCACTCCTAAGGGGATAAATTAACGCGAGCTAAGCCGCATAAACGTATAAACGTATTAATTTTAAGCTAAGATTATTAATCGTTAACTACTGAATATTATAATAAAAACAATAATTTTTAAAGTCAAACCATATCAAATTACTCTGTTTCAAGGTTATTTGGTCACATCACTACAAAAACAAACATGCAGTTGATTATTTCATTCAGTTGACAGAAATGCAAACTCTGAATGGTCGGACTGTATCGACACATCTGATGTGTGAAGCTGGGGCAAATTGCTAGTTTTTCTTTACCGCGGACAATTAACACAAGCCATCTAGTCCCACGGTAAGCAGAGCTTGTGTTATGGGTACTAGACAACTGACATATATACCTATAAGGATTTTTTTGTAAATACAAATATAACATACAGGGGGAAAGAGGGTTGTTAGTAATGTGAACAATTAACCCCATTCGTAGCAATGTACCATGTCAGGTTGACACGCGGTTCTCCCTGGAAACCATCGTGATAAATTCCTGGTGAATTTATCACGATGGGCTAACTGACCTGACCTCATGCTCATCTTATCATCCTCCACTTGTGCCCTGCCTGTGCAAACCGTTGCAGGCGGGTGCAACATGCCATTATCATATATAAAATAACATAAAAAGTATAACATACATATAAAACACCCAGACCAAGTTGTTAGTATTCTTTTTAATAGGTGATAACGCTTAATGACAATAGGTTATGGGGTTTCCGTACATGCTAATGACTGTCGAGCCAACAGAAGGGTGATAGAAGAGCAGATAGGGTCTTAGTCCATCGTGGCTGATTCACCAGGAATTACTGACGATAGTGTCCAAGGGGGACCTCGTGGTGGTCAACCTAGTATGGTTCATTACTAGCGATCGGTCTATTAGTCCTAGTTACAAATCTAATATTAATATTACATTCGAAATCGTGTATGTCTATCTGTTTGTTACATTGTCATGATTAAACGGCTGAACGGATCTTAATGATATTTCATATTAAGATAGATAGCATCACGAGGATGAATATAGGCTATATTTTATCTTAGAAATGCAGACACAATCGTGTGTAACAGCTAGTCTTACTAATGTGACTCAGAGAAAATAGAAAAAAAGAGAAAATAAAAAGATTCAAATGTCACATACATAATGTTTTTGTAGAAAAAAATCTATTTCTATTTCTTACTAATATTATAAACGCGAAAGTTTGTGAGTATGGATGGATGTTTGTTACTCTTTCATCAAAAAATACTGAACGGATTTTGAAACTTTACAGTAATATAGCTTATACATCAGAGTAACCTATAGATTATAATTTCGAAAGTCATTATGTAAATTGGGCGTAATATAAAGATGTTAAGTAAGTGATACAGGCGAAGTCGCGTGTAACAGCTAGTTTACTATAAGCTATTGTTGTAAATTCAAATTGTTATATTTTATTTTGTTATATATACAATTCAGTTGTGGTATGTTTTCAAGGTAACAATTTTTTTTCGAACCGGCGACCCCGAGTCCTGCGCTGCGTCCCGTATGTTAATGCCGGCTGCGGTCACGCGACGCCGCGAGTCGACGCTCGATATACTGACCGTGTCCCCTACTACGGACTGCAAACTCACTCCTCACTCACTCTTCAACTCATCGACGAGTACATATTTTTTTTCTTTTTTACATAAATATATATGTGTGAACTAGTGTCCAGTAATTCTTTGTGTAATAGAAATGGCAAACAAGCAAGTAGTAACCATTGTCAATCTAAAGTGTTAGGAACATGAGCATAACTCGTCCGTTCTGTTCACTCGTATAATGCATCTTTTGTCAGAATCACTGATCATAGGCTGCCATCTTGTGTCCCACTATTCTCGAAAAACGGAAGATTCAACAAGAGGATATTATATGTACATGTCCTGTAATGTCACTGCAAAATGTCACCCTATAACCGAAACACATCTTACAAAACAAGCAGCTCGGCGGCTGCAGTAGGTGAGACTAAGTTACATACGTGTAAAGAATATTTGATAATCGGCAGCCATCTTGCTTATTTCTAAATAGAATTTATTATTGTATTATAGCATCTATAACATATTTAAGCAAGCTATTTGGCAGCTAAAGTAGGTGAGACTGAGATGCCTACGTAACTGACTTTGTACAAAACGTAGTCTCACAGGATAAACGTAGGCAAAATTGGGGTCAATGACTATGCTCTTGCTTTATTCGCTTTAATAACTATCTCATGCTCACATAGAACGTAAATTGACTGATTACAACAGATAAATTTGTTAAAACAGTTTCTAGGCGCCCTTCGATATCTACATCAAAATGTAAATATCCAAAAAAATATTAAAAAATCTATTACTTTTTAAGATGAAGAATGAATTCATTCATTCATAATTTTTATGAAATATTTACTTTACTTTCACTGAAAATTATAAATATGAAAGTAACTCTGTCTGTCTCGCTTTCACGCTGAAACCACTGAACCGATTTAAATATAATTTGGTACACAGATAGTCCAGACTCTGACAAAGGACATAGGCTACTTTTTAATGCGAAAAAGGGTTGTAAGGGGTTGAAAGGGGAGATGAAAGGTTATATGGAAGTATTGTCATTTTACGCGGACGAAATCGCGGGCGCAGTTATTAATCTAATAAATATAACGGCATTTACGAGCTATAACTATTCATATATTACCAGCATTATTACTAATTGACATTGTCAGATAAAATAATTCTCACTTTATTCTCACACAACATGTTCATAAATGAGTTTTGGACAAATAGTGTAATAATATGTGTTTTATAAGTACATTAATTTTATCGTCACAAAAATTACCCTGAGGTATAAGTAATAATAATAATTAGTGTGCCATGATACATTGTTTATAATAAAACTGTTTTTAGTATTAATAGATTAATCTATACATCTATACATATAAATAAAATTGGAATGTCTGTTTGAAATATTGAAAAAAACATTTTTTACTACATGCATTTGAATATAAATACGGTATATACACCAAAATAATATTGTTTACAATTTTCGTCTGTCTGTTTCGGCTAATCTCTGAAATAGCTGGACTGATTTTGACGGGACTTTATTTGGCAGGTAGCTGATGTAATAAGGAGTAACTTTAACGCTACTTTTATTTTAGAAAAGTAAAGTTAAATTCCACGCGGACGAAGTCACGGGTGTAGCTAGTTAATAATAATAATAACTCTGGAGGATAGATAAATAACGAACATAAAAAGTAAAAACATAAATGTTTTACCAAATCAGTTCAGTAGTTTTTTCGTGAAAGAGTAACAAACATCCATCCATCCATATTCATAAATCTTTCGCGTTTGTATTATTAAAAGATCATGAGGAATCGAACCCGAACTATCGGAAGTGAAGCGCTGTGCTTAACCGATAGATCACAAAGTATTGTGTAATTGGAGTGTAATGCAGTGTATAAGGGTCTTTACTTATTCGTTACTCAACTATTCACGTTATTGTCAGTTTAAATAACAATGAAACGTTTTAAACGTGAAACCGAGAACACCTCGGGTTATTAGGCATGCGAACCGCATGAAATCTCTAAGGTATTATGGTGAAAATAGATATCTGTGAGGGAATTAACTTTCCTTTCATTATACCCGCGAGTTACGGCTGTATATTAAGTAGGCTTCAAATAGAAATTGACAATTTCGATAGCAACGTAACTTGTTTGTTATGCATTCGGGATTGTTTATGTGACATTATATAAGAATAACTTTTTTTTTTAATTAAATACAATTTTTCACAAACATATTCGTCCGTGCCTTTTTTAATTTACTTTAATATTATTATATTTCTTTAATTTCCACTTTTGTACAACTCCAAAGGAGTCTTTGCTGCTATATGCTTTTTTACAAAGGAAGTGTTTCATACATTTAAATCTTTTTTCAGGCAGATTTAGAAGAGACTGGTAGTTTGTTGTAAACCCTTACGCAATTGCCAAAAAACGAATTACTAACTTTAGTTAAACGACATTTAGGTAAAATCAGTTTGTTATTGTTGCGTAAGCTTTTATTAGTGTAATCACTAACTCTTTTGAAATCGTCTTGGCATAAATAATATTTTCGTACATGTATTGAGAAGTTGATTAAGTGTACCCTTTTTACCCTTTTTACAATGGTGGCAAACAAGCGTACGACCCATCTGATGGTAAACGGTTACCGTACCCTACACGATGGACGCTTGAGACACCAGGGGAGCCATGTGACCCATTGTGAGCATTGCTAACCCTTAAGAAACCTTAATATACCCCCTACTTGATAAACTTCATGCTGTAGTCTCGTGAGAAAACCTCGGCAGGTAGTTCAGTTTACAATTTAGATTGTGTAGGCGGGAGGAAGCTCCTGTGAAACTACACGGTCCGAGACCACTTAGATTCTAGCATAACATAACTAAAATTTGTAAAAAATATACTCGTAAAATAAAATAGGGAATAAAAGATTCTATGGAAATTCACTATAGAATTTAGAACGAATAAACTTTTTTCTTTGGCTTTTTATAATTAGCCTAAATAATTTAAAATGCTTTCCAATGTCTCTGTTCTATACGGATGAAGAAGCGGGTACAGCTAGTATGGTATATAACTTTACATAATGTGTACAATTGCAATTGTTATTTATTAAAATCATCAGATTCTTTTACAAAATTATAAAGAACACTTAATCAATGAACAATTACCCCAATTTTCCAAACAATAAATTATAATTAATATATTTGTAACAATAGTTAAAAAGTGGGTCACTCACCCGCCATTGCTGTGAGTTGATTTATCCGACCCGCTTCCTTCGACCGGCTGGTGTACCGCCATCTTCTCAGTTCCCGGCGTTGACAAATTTGAACTTTGTACTTCTACTTCCGGTTCGCCTTTAACAAGCGTTTCCGTCACCTTTTCCATTTCCGTCGGGCCATTTTTCTTTTTTTCATTCACAACAACGACTATCGGTTCTACATCTTTTTTGGGTTCCACTTTTTCTTGATTCTCTTTAGGCTTCGGATTTTCTACCGGCGTCATAATGCTATCAACAATTTTAGTAGCTTCGGAGCGCATTTCTGCGGTAGTTTTATCATTTTGTTTGACGAGATCATTTTTAATGTCAGTTAACTTACTTGCAATCTCGTCTTTAGTTTCTTTTATCTCTGCTTTTGTCTTATTGGCAACGTTTTTTAATGTACTTTTAGTTTCAGCGGAGGAAGTTTTTGGTGGCACGGATAAAATATTCTCCGTGGATACTTCTGGTTCTTTTAATATGCTTTCTATTTTTTGTCGTGCCTTTTCTACTTGAGGATTATTGTAAGGTGGTTGTAAGAGCCTTAACTTTATGTTCTCCTCATTAAATACTGTTTTTTCTGTCGCCTTAGTATGTTTTGCTTGCTTTTTCTCATCAGTTTTATCGGACTTTTCAACTTCTTTAACGTTGTCTTTGTCCTTTTCTTTTTCTTTTTCCTTATCGTTATCTTTTAATTTAGTCTTATTTTTCTCAGGATCCTTTTCTTTATCTTTTTCAGCAACTTCCTTCGTTTCTGGTTTTGCATGTTCTTCTTCCTTATCGTCATCTTTCGGTGCTAATGAGTCTTTTGAACCTAACCTTTCAAAAATTCCTTTCTCCCTTGCCTTCTCCAATACATTTGGTAACTGATTAGTAACTGTAGTCACAACTTCTAAAGGCTGTGAAGTAATTGCTGCCGTTGTCATAGAAACAACGCTTTTTTTCGTCAAAATTACTAACTCTCCTTTCTCATTAGTAATTTTGTCATACTGCGTTTCATTATCCTGTTTGGTTACTTCATCTCCACCTGTACATGAATCAACACCCTTTTTAGCTTGTTCTTTTTCTTTCTTTTTAGCATCTTCTTTATTATCTTTATCTTTTTTGCCAGACTTAATCGCCTTCTTTTCATCTTTTCTTGCACCTACTTCATTAATTTTATTCATTGATTGTGATTTGTCTGTTAAATCTAATTTACTGTCTCTTTTTTTGAGTAACGGTGGTTTTTCGTACAAAGTCTTAGTGCTTGGTGTTCTCGTTAAACTTTTAATGCTATTTGTTCTATTAATTGTTTTTTTAGGTTCTGGTTTATTATTATTTGTTATTGGTTTTTGAATTGATTTAGAGCTTGGTGTTCGAGTAATAGACTTGTTTGGAGTTTTAGTCACTGGTTTTGATGTTGAAGTAACTTTAGGAAGGGCTTTACGTTTCTCAGGGCTGTGGTCTCTACTTACTGTTCTGCTAGGCTGTCTAGAATTTAATCTAGATGTAGCAGGTGTATTACCGACTGTTTTTATAGTCTTTCTAGGCATTGGCGAAGGCTTTGTGGATGTTTTAGCAGACTTAGGTTTCAAATCTTCTGTTGGGCTTTTATTTGGAGTGCCTACAATGGGAGACAGTCTTTTAGAATTAATAGATTTGTTTGCTGGTGGTGGCCCACCACGACCAGGAGAAATAGGAGGCTTTCCCCGAATATGAGCTGGTGCAATATTCAAAAACTGAGTGCTTTTACTCATAGCTCTTTTATCATGTGCCTGACTTCCAACTTTTATACTTTCATGAATACTACTAGTACTATTTGAAATGAATCTTTGATTTTTGTTGAGACTATTTTCTGGAAATCTTGATTTGGAATTATCTCGTCTTGATGGTGAAACAGAGTTTTGGCGTTTGGGTACCTTAGATGAATGCTTCGGTGATCCATCATTCGACTGAGGCTGTGACCTTGATACAGATCGAAGTCGAGATTTATGCGTTACAGGTTTGGGCATCCCGTCATCTTTGTTGATGAATTCATTGTTGCTAGCAGCAATGTTTTCGAAATGTAATATAGCTGAAGGGGAATTAGATCTGGATCTAAGGTTTATTTTATTTGGGGAGTTGCTTCTGGATGTTGTTCGTGAACATACAACACTTCTAATCGCGTCACTCCTTGCATTCTTATCCAATAAGCCCATTTCTTTTAATAGAGCTTCTTCTTCTTCTATTTTCTTCCTCTGTGCTTCAGCTTCATGTTTTTCTCTATTTAATTCACTTAATTCTCGAATCTCTTCAATATTTTCTTTAAGAAAATTCCTAGGTGAATGAGGCCTACTTAACGTGTGTATAAGAGGTTGTATTGTAGCTGCTTGAGCCATTTTATCGATTTTAGACAAGGAGTTGGTTCTTCTTCTGGGAGGTGAGTTTGTTCGGGAGTTGGCAGCTGATGTTTTTGGTGTGGTATGTCGTGAGGTCTCTTCTCTGAATCCTCGACCTAATAATATTAAACGTATATGTAAGTCATATCTATATTTATTATATAAGTATTTGAAAACCATTTAGAAAAATAAATGTTTTCAATACATGTGTCTCTGAAAAAAATATGGATTTGGTTATCACATGGATATGATAAGTACTTTCCTCTATTTATATCCATTATTTATATTTGTAATTACACCTGTAATTTGTATACAGGTATGCATATTTCCTGGATAGTGAATCGAAATAAAAAAAAATCAATTAACAGACTTTAGTGATTAATATTTCGCTTTGTATGGGTCAAGATCACACAGTGCCAAATTGACGTAGGAAGAATTTTTATAATCTAGATAATAGGTGTCTATCTATTAATGCACTGTAGGTCACAAGGTCTAAAAGAGTATAGGGCCGTGAATTGCCGACTACTAATTGTGTTAAAGATTTACCTTTAAATGGCGATACTCTTCCAGGTTTTATTTCAACTGGCAAAGACCTCGGACTGGAAGGTCGCGATGCAACTGGAGTCTCTGTTATGATAGCGAATGATGACTCTCGCTTTCTCTTCGATGTTGGCACCACTCTGGAAATAAAGAAAATGATTATCTATACTAATATAATAAAGACAGATATAATTATTTACTTACAGAATTTTAATGCACACAGTACAAGAAGTAAATGTACATTTGGCGGACTTAATACCATGCGGTATTTTCTACCAGTCAACCATAGCTAGTGCTGAGTATAATTGTTGGCGGTGCAAATAGAATCATAAATAAAATCTAGGCATAAATTTATCACGGAGAATGTTCTGAGGAATTGTTCAGATTAATACCAGCTGTTGAATTTCACTGTCGTTCTACTTGAAAGAAACTAAAATACCACTCTTACAGAATGAATGGCTGTCCTCTACAGTGAATTTTTCCAGAAACTTTTTCTGACGCACAAGCACAATGTTAAATCACCTATGAATCGAGCGTCATGTATTAAATGTAGTCCGAGACTGTTTCTACCGTTTAAAAATATTATATAAAGTACGTAATTATCTCACAGAGAGAGTAAGAATATTATTATGTGAGTCCCTTATTCTCTCTAAGTTCAATTACGGTGATCTAGTATATGGTCCTCGCCTTGTATGTAATTCTCGGAATATAATGCAACGCGTACAAAATGCTTGTGGCCGCTTCTGTTTTGACATACCTCCACGTACTCATGTCTCTCCATTTCTAAATAATGCATCAATTCTTAACATGGAATCACGGAGGCGGTTGCATCTCGCAGTACTGATGTTTGATATAATGACATTTAAAAATCCAGAATACTTATATAATAAATTAAAATTTTCATCTTTTGAAAGTCATTATGTCGGCGTCCCTAGATCAGCACGGGTTCCTTTAGCAATGTATTCTCACCGAACTGTTGCTTTTACGGGAAGTTTCCGCTACCAGGCGACTAAATGCTGGAATAATATCCCTCCACCTATAAGAGCCATTACTTCAAAACAGGTATTTAAGAAAAAGATAAATCTTTTTCTACTAGACAATTCCTAGCATTTATATATTATTATTATTTTTTGAAAGCCTTTGGTCGCTTAGGTAATGGTCTGCGTCAACAGTTATTTGTATTTGAATTGATATTGATATTGATACATTTTGATTTATTTATTTTATTATTTTTTTTCTTCTATTATTTTTATTAAGAATTAGTTTAATTTAAATTTTGGTAACATTAAGATTGTTGAGTGAATATGTCGCTGCACGCGATCGCACCACCACTGGGCTGCTACTGAAAATCAGTGTTTTGCTCGCTGAGCAAATTGTTCACTGAGTAGCTCAACCCTTTCGTATCCCTGTGGCACCTAATATATATTTTAATGTTTATTTTATGTTTTTTATTTTATTTGGAAGTTAAAGTATTATGTGTTGTATTTTTTTTTTATAATTATTTACTATTCTTATGTGTTATTTGAATTTTGTTTGTACTATCTTTGTTATCGGGATACGAATAAAGATTTTTATCTATCTATCTATCTATCTATCTATGCAATAAATATTCTTCAATGTGCAAATGTTCTGACCTGACTGCTTTGACCCTCATGCTATCATCTTCTAACAGTCTCTCGCCAGCATGTACCGTCAACAGAAGATTAAACACCATTTCATTATCATCGTTTAAAAATATTAATTCACTTATAATTTTTCTATTTTCCATTAAATTAAATTAGTTTTGACACTTTTACTTTGAAAAACGTAATTAACACCGTAACACGTATTTTGCCATGTTGTTAATGGTGTAACGAACATAACGATAATGGTGTTTCGTTCGTTATAGATCATAGACCACGTGGAACCATCAATGATGGTAACAATAACATAATGACTTGCGTTTCAATACAAATGGTTGATTATGGACGAAAATCGTAGTGAAATGGAAATTACGAAATGCGTTTGATTGATTGATTTTTTTGTTTTTATTCAATTTGAGACATGTGGCATTATTGGAGACGAGTCACTCGAGCGTTCGTGGCCTGGTTCCCCACCAACATGCTGTCCACCTTCATGAAGGTAGACTACTAGCTGAAGGGTGTTGTGCACCACCGATACAGTGGCAAACTGCTACAGTGATTGTGGTAACCACAAAGACTATATTCATATTTTATTATTTTCTACCAGCTGTACCCGCGACTTCGTCAGTGTGGAATTTTAATTTAATTTTTCTAAAATAAAAGTAGCCTAAGTTACTCCTTATTACATCAGCTACCTGCCAAAAAAGTCCCGTCAAAATTGGTCCAGCCATTTCAGAGATTAGCCGGAACAAACAGACAGACAGACAAAAATTGTAAAAAAATGTTATTTTGGTATATGTACTGTATTATATTCATATGCATGTAGTAAAAAACGGTTATTTCAATATTACAAACAGACACACCAATTTTAATTATATGTATATCTATATAAATAAAATTGATGTGTTTGTTGTCTATACATGTGTACAAATATATGTTAGTTCTTAAGGTATATATAATATGGGTCAATATTGTTGTATATACATATAGTATTAAATTGCCTGAAATAAATAAATTTTACTTTGGAAAGGTGGTGACATCTTAGAATATGAATAACAATAAAAAAATTTGCTATTACCTATTACCTAAAAAAAAACTTTGTACAGTCGTCAGCGAAGATATCTCGTCTTACCTATTTCATTACCTTTTTCTCGTCTTACATATTTACCTTTAAGTAACTTGCTATGTTTCGGTCAAAGAAGAGTGAGAACTGCCTCCGAGGCTCGTTGGTATGCCAATTTAGCTTTTAGGTATAAGTACAAGGAACAGTGCATACAATAATAATAGGCTTGGGGAATACACACAGCGTTCTCTAGACCAATCTTGAGAGCAGAGCTTGTGTACATTTTTTGTATATACATACATATACAAAGATATTACTGCGATATATCGCAATATTATATGTAATTATAGTTTTAAAAACGTTTGGTTTCCACAAATTTTAATTATCTTGTATTTAATGTGTTTCTGTATGTTTTATAGGGTTGCAATAAGAAAAAAATTCGGACTACTCTAATGCCGTTGCCCTTTACAACATCACCGGAAGACAGGGACGAGTGCAGATGGCACTCCAAACCAGCGGAAGGACTTTTACGGCGGCTGAAAGCCAACTCCCGCCTGACGGATATGACTTTAGTCTGAGGGCACCGCTAAGGGTCCGAACTTCGGCTCAGGCCGTCGTAATTTGAATCCCTGTTTGATTTTAAAAGTTAGTTGTCTTTATTAGGTACTTCTTTTAATATATCAATGGCAACTATTGCCTCGTCGTTATTGTAGAATAGAATAGAAAATCATTTATTCAAATAAACTTACATTGAAGCACTTTTGAATAGTCACCACATTTTTTTTAATCTACCGCTAATTCGGATAGCTGTCTCATCACAAGAAAAACGAGCAAGAAACTTGTGTGTTGCTGTTTTAAATAATTTTATTCTTACTTTACAATTTAAGTTTAAGTGTGTGAATACAAACTACCAATTAGCACTAATTCAATTAAATAATCAAATAGAAAAAATATTGAATACACAACAACTGGTTAAACAATTAATAAGAGTTGTCGTTGGACAGCCGTGATGTTCCTGATACATTTATAGCCACAGATGTCTAGTGGTTTAATACATCGCTTTACGATGATCGCGGCTTCGATTTCACGCGCGGTACAAACATTTGTATTGATGAGTATGATTGTTATCGGTCTGGGTGTTTTCTGTGTATATGTATTTATTTATTTTATTTATCCTTTATTGCACTATTTAAAATAATGTACAATTGGCGAGCTTAATGCCATATGGCATTCTCTATCAGCTAACCATTGGTTGAAAACAGAAAGCGGTTGAAGGGTAGTAATGGGATAAGGCATACTATTTGTATTTACCTAACTTAGGTATATATGTATATAGTAATAAGCTTACATACATACCTATGAACATACATATATACGTACTTAAATACTTGCTATAACAGGTACTATATATATATATATACAAAAACACAAAAATATAAATGTATAAATAGATAAATAATAATAATAATAAATAAATATATGTATATATATATATATATATATATATACAAATATGTACTAGTATGATTTGACAAAAAAATGTGTCTAAGACGTCAGGTATTGTTACTTATAAATGTATGCTACCTCATTTAGCTGCATTGTATTATATAACTTTAAAAAAAAAGAACACAGAACACTAATTTTTATTTGTCCTTCTGAGCTAAATCATTGGAGGGAAAATACAAATCTTTATTCTTTACATTAGTACAAAATATTAGTTTTATTTTCACAAGAATAAAAGGATAGTACAAACAAAATATATCAAAGTATTTGTATCAATTGTCTATTACCTAATGCAAGATCTGCTTAGCATGGGACTAGATGACGCTGTGTGAATTGTCCAGGGTCATTATTATTCTGTCTATCTATATAAATGACTAAACTGACTTATTTTAATATGGACTGTATAAAATAAAATGTTTTATACAATACAATTACTCAAAGGTCACTTCTTGACCTGTGTGTCATGAGAAATGATATGGTGCTACTTGTCTGCGTGTATACGCCATTTTATCGTTACAATGATGTGAAATCGTGTAAAAATCAACTTGATCGCAAAATAATGACTAATTTAATTTTCAGTCGTGGAATAACTATGAATCATAAAATATAATACTTAGTACATAACAAAAGTTCATAGGTTACGTTATTTGTCATTGAATTCACTAAAGATTAGAGGTTACTCGATCAATGAGGTTAAGCATCGTTGTGACCAGTCATTCCTTGGATGGGAGACCATAATGACTTTGCTTTTTCATTAGAGTACATAACAAAAGTTCATAGGTTACGTTATTTGTCATTGAATTCACTAAAGATTAGAGGTTACTCGATCAATGAGGTTAAGCATCGTTGTGACCAGTCATTCCTTGGATGGGAGACCATATTAACTTAACGTTTTCATTAGATAACTAGTCGTCGATTAATTTGAGCCATCTTTATTTATTAATTTGACTTT